GTTCCTTGTCGTCAACTGAGGTGCTAGTTTTATTATGATAATGTTGGACAAAAGCTGTATAAATATGTTTAGTATTGGCGAAACCAATGGTGTCGTGGCTATCAATCTCAGGATCATAAACTAGGCCGTAGGGTTTTAGGCCTACAATGGCAGCTACATCAAGTAAAGTGGGTGTCATCATCCCACAAGGGAGGTGGAAGGTGTTGTGAGTTCTATCCCAGAAGAATAAGGAAGAAGCCAGCATAAGGGGGCAGTACGAAGGGTCTACCTTCGACATCATAATCAAGTCATAAATCCCAGTGTCCTTCCATTCCTGGGCTTTTACTTTCTCTATTTTTGTCAGCCAGTTGAGATAAAGTTCAAAATCTTTAAAGTAGGGAGTAGCCCTAAATAATCTGGCCCCATCATGAAGATACCTAAGGTCTACGTCGAAGAGGCTCAGGCTATCAGGGCCATCAGTGGAAATTTTGCTAGAGTCTTTTTGCCCTAAGGGTTTAGTGGTTCTATAAGAGGGGAAGAAATCTTTAATGGAGGAATAGTCAAGACCCGGAGGGGGTAAAGGCCCAGAAATGGCTAAAGGTCTCCCTGCAATAATAACAAGAATGATTACCTGAGATTCGTAAATGTTGCGTTTCTCCTCTGTCAAGGGTTCGCGGATGAACTGTTGGTTCTTTACCACTTGGGGACCACTCAAGCTGGCAAAGGGAGGAAGTATTGATGCAGAAGTTTGTCCTTTGAGTTGCATTTTCTTCTTTTAATAATCAGCCATTTTTGAAGGAAGTAAGAGTTTGTTGGTTGGGAAGCAGAAAAATTAGAGGAAAAAGCAAGGATGGTGTGAAGAGTTAGAGAAGTTGGAAAAAATGAAAATATCAAAGGGAAATTACTTATATAGTGTATGAAAGACTGAAAGTTTTCATCATTAAGGGGCTAGGGTTAGTGGGCCACGTGTGCGCTTGGACATGGGATGGCAGAGGCAGCAGTTGCAATTCACGTCCCCGAGGTTGGAAGGGTGATGATGACCCACGATTTTGTGGATTCCTGAGAAAATAGCCATGATGAAAGTGACGTCAGAAACGTCCATCAAGGTGGCGGAACAGTAGCTTGCGTGTTCCTAGTTATCTTTCTTGCTTCTCTTTCATTCCCTTTCACCTTCCCAGACTTGCATTGGTTGAAAGAATATCAGACGACACGCATGAGGACAAGCGGCTTCGAAGGTCAGACGCTGTCAAAAAATGTGCTTTTCCACATTCGAAGTCGAAAAGACATTTTTGGGGGAAAATTTGTTAGCTCCTAAATTCGACGCCTCATGTAGAAGGAAGAAATTCAAGATAAAAGGGTCAAAGATAGGTTGAGAACGAGAGAGTGGTCGAAAGAGGCAAAGCGGCCAAAAGAAGAAGTCGAAGAACTCACCCAGAAGCCAGGAGTTCGACCGCTTGCTATTAGGGATGGTTCGTCGAAGGATTTGAAATTCAAAATTGGAGGGAACGATTTTGCTTGTTGAATATTGAGCGAGACACGTGTCACCTTATGAGCAGTAGATCCAGGCATTTGCGACAAATGGCGAAAGGAGGTGATGATGGAGGTTATTAGAGGTTATTTTTTACTACTATAAATAGGGTGTCTTAGACATATCCAAAGTGTGTTGTAATTTACTATTGTACAAATTACTCTTGAAATTACTCCAAGTATCCGAGTGTAGAGAAAGCGAGTATTGTAGAGAATGTGCGTGATGTAAACACACCATCTTTTAACTTAATGCAATTTACTTGTTTTATTTTAAATTGTACAAAGTATTTTATTGTCTTTACCCCTTTTCTCCTTACTTTACTTCTCTACTTCCTATGCAATTCTTTTCTCTTCATCCTCAATCTAACTTCACATCTCCCAACAAACTTTCTTTTCTTTTATTGAAAGCTTTATTTTACCTTTAAGTTGTCCCGTAGTCAAATAGATGTTTCTTTAAGAATACTTTCACCCCAATATTGTTCGAGTGTGGAACTTGAATAGACTTTTAAAACAAAAACAAACCTTTTAGCACATGTCCCAGGATCAATCTGATCGATCCTGTGAGTCACCAAAGTTAGATTTGGAAGATCAGCGGTCGTTTTCCGATTTTCAAGGGAAACACTCAAAAAATCCAATCAAAAAATTCATCTATTTTATGTCAATTTATGTATGATTAATTAAATTAATCTAACAATCTCCCACTTGTATGACAATAATTAATTATTAAAAAATATTGATTTTAATATTATAATATAAATAATGGTCAATACACTAATCAATCAAAAATAAGTATATTTCAACGTTGCGGAAATTGTATCTGATAGGAAAGACAAATCATACATGTTAAAACTCACAACTTTATATAAAGAATGATGAACTTAGAGTAACATATTTAAGTTAAGAGTAATATGTTATAAAGAATGGCTCAAGCATATGAAAATGCTATTGAAAAACTCCCACTAACATCAAAATATCATAAGACTTACTCATGTGTATAAGCCTATGGTTAGTGATTATACTAATGAGTTTTAAATTATAGGTCATAGAATATCCACATAGGTCTAAGAATAATAATTACATATAGGGATACCATATTACGAAAGTAGTTACATTTAATAATAAGTACCTTCATAACATAATATCATACTCGATAGGAGTATCGATATTTACTTGTACTTTCATATTTTAGCCTCAAGAGTGTGGATGTTGAATATAGAATAACACAATACTATTGTGTGCTAAAGAATTATTGTGTCCTATAAATATCGATCTAAACATCAAACTATGATGCTTTATGAGATTAAAAGAATAATATATATATCTCAGTATAACAGAATAAGACTTCTTATAATTATTTCATATTTTGAAATCCTTTTAGAATATGTCATGTTTACGGTGCACGTAAGAATATATGAGACTATGAGAATAATAATCTAAACTTTTTTCAGATTATATGATTGTGTACACATGCACTCCCACTGATCCAATAGGATACAGATTTATCAGAGCTCACTAATATTAAATACTATGATTGAACAATGAAATAATATTTAAAGCAAAACTATACAAATCAATTATTCTGGCCTGGGCCCAGGTTTGACCAGGCAGGCCCAGCCCAATAATATTTTGCCAAGCCCAATCCAGCTTGGGTCGCAACCGTCGAGCACAGGGTCCCGACGAGCAGGTAATATCCCTCTGTGGGCAGAACATGCCTCATCTGTGTCGAGCACGAGACTCCCCCATCGACCAGACACTGCCCTCTCCGCGGGCAGAACCTGCCCCTCCGCAGGCAGAACCTGTCCCCCTGTCGGGCAGGACAACGTGTCCTTCACACGTTCTCCACATGCTCCCCTCCGCGGGGACACGTCACCGACCAACTGTCCACCTCCGAAAGAGCAGGTCAAACCCACTTTCCAGAGATCATGGGACAGTTGGACTAGGGCGAATACCACGTTCTGGTCTTCACTACGTCACGTAAGCCCTAGCAGTCACCTGAGTTGGGCCTGACAATCCAGCCCAACACAAGTGACCGTTGGCCCAGCGCTGGGGTCTTTATATAAATACCCTCTTTCGCAAGAGGGTCATGTAATTCATTCCTTACCCCTTGTCTGTACTTGTGATCACTCTGCCCGTACGCTTACTTTAGCATCGGAGTGTCTTGCAGGTATACCCCTCTCCTCTTCTTCAACACCGGTGAACAGGCAGCAAGTAGAAGACGCGTGGAAGCTAGCGATCCCCTTCTGATCAGGTTAGATCAGAAATGATTGTATAATATAACATCATTTCAGCCACAAATTTTGCACGGAAACGGAATATATCATTATTTACATGATTTCACATGAAAGAATATGATGGTCATATAAAAGATTTACCATCAACTAAGTGAGATCAAAACCATAATATATGATTATACATAACATCTTAATAACTTATCAAAACTCAACTGCTACAAATATAACTACACACATTTGAGAAACATATTATGTTATACGCAGTGAAAAAATATGAGACTTTAAATTTAACTATTATTGAGGATATAGCACAAATAATCATAAACTTTATTACTAACATAAGAATATAATATTCTTGACATAAGTCTCTATAAAGTGATAAATAAATAATATTTGTTTTTTAATTTTATACAATTGACATGTTAAATTCTCCCACTTGATAGAGAATAATATTGAATTAAGATTAAGAGTTTTGAAAAAATTTTAAATAAATATTCAACTATTTTCTCTATCACACAATAATCATGTCAAGTAACGTCACACGATAGGGTATATCCATCACTTACATAATACATAGAGAATTGAAATTCATTTTAATAAAAATATTAAAATTAAATTATTGAATTTCATAAAGTATTACATGTCTTTAAAACAAGTTATTATTTATTAAATAATAGTTTCAACAATATTAAATAAGAAATTTAACAATTAACAAATATTATGTCACAAAAAAATCTAATACCTATAGGGTAGTCAAACCATAATTTACATAAATATAAATTATAAGTACATTGAAAAAATAATAAATTATATTAATAATAGCATACCGATAGGGTATAATTATTATCAATATAATATTTATTATAATTAAAATCAATTTAATTAATTTATTAAACAAAATTTGTAAAACTGTACCCACGATAGAATAAGTTACAATCATACAAATTAAAAAATAATTATATTTTATTCAAAATAGAAAAATTTGTATAATTATATCAACGATGAATAAGATTACAATTATACAAATTGACAGTGATTACTCAATTATCCAAAATAAAACTCTCAATTAATAAGATTTCTAATATACTCATAAAAATTTATTTAATTATTTATTTGAGTATATAACAAGCAATCAATTTATGAACATAAATAGATTATGAAAAATTATTCAATTCATTTTGTATAATTTCATTTTTTATAACGAATAATCGATAATGATAAGAACAATACTGAGGGTAGAGACCTCTCATTGGACTTAACTGAATGATCCAAACCATCACGATCCGTTCAGACACAAAATTTAATCAAACAATTTTTCGTTATTACATACATGAAATACCACCAAAACATGAAATCCCTTTCGACAACTTCAGACACATCGACATCATTCTGAGCTTTGCCAGTGAGAAAGGCGACGGACGTTTCCACCCCACTTGGATCGTTGATCGCTTTGGCATTGAATGGTTGAAAAGGTTCAAACAAGAACATCCAAATGCGAGGGTTGTTATCAGCATTGGAGGTGTTGGCTCAGAATTTCCATTCAATCCAGCTCAAAAGGATGGATGGATATTCAACGCTATAGAAACCATCAAAAATATCATCCTTCTCTATAAAGACATAATCGATGGTATTGATATTCATTATGACGTAATCAAATCAAGTGAGGATGATTTTTCTTTTTGTATTGGACAAGTTATAAAACAACTCAAAAATAATATAGATTTATCCATCAAAGTTGTGTCGATTGCTCCAACAGAACTCGTGGAGCCCTACTACCTGAAACTGTATAAGGACAACAAAGACATTATAGACTTGGTTGATTATCAGTTCTACAATCAGAAATTCTCTTCAAAGGAAGAAATTCTAGAGCTCTATAAAAAACTGGTAACTGATTACTATCCAGCTAAAGTCTTAGTTGGAATTAGCATCCCTGTTGACCCTATACTTCATGCGGCCATCTGTTACCTCGTCTATCAAAAATTACTTCCTGGTATTTTCGTTTGGAATATGTTTGACTCTATCGATGGTCCCAACAATTTCTCTCTAGAGAAAATTCTAAAAGATCTGATCTGATTAACCTATAATGAAGGTCATAAACAAGACATTTGAATTGTGTGCTTTTAATACTGTATGTGTGTAAGTGTGTTTCTTATTTTCTTTTTATCATTTTCTTGCAAGTGCTGAACTACCTCTGTTGTATAATTATATGTAATATAATGCTTTCAATAATAAGAATCAAATTTGTATGGTTTGTTTTCTTTATCTTATTACTTTATTCGATTGGAAATTCTATGGTGAAGTCAATTTCATTAATCAGTAGAATATCGGTCGATGTCACATCATACTTACGGTGCAAGAAGTTTATGATGAATCTTTTTTATTTGAAATTTATACTTATTACATATTACTCTTTCATTAACTTAATAATAATTTACAAATTAAAAATAACTTTATTTTAATTTAAATGAGATAATAATTTATAATAATGAATTTTATTTGACAAGATTAATTATGCAATTGAAAATCTTATATTTCCAAATCCCTAATGAAAACCCTAAATTCTTAAATCTCACCCAACTGTTCTTCGTCGTCTTTTTTTTCTTCCTTCTCATCATAAATTTTTTTCAATGGTTCAGATCAAATTCTGATTCGTTTCACTTCAACGTTATCCCAAATTAATCCTTCTTATTCCAACTCTTCCCTCTCAACCAATTTCGTATCTGCGTTCGTGTTCGATTTTTAGCTTTCAAAGCAAACGTTCATGTAATTTATATTGGTTGCGGTGTTTACCAAATCGTTTGTAAATTTTTCCATGTTCGTTATTTTATGGTTCAAAGCATCTCAATCTGTAAATTTTTCACACGTAATTGTTTCTATACATCTCAATCGGTATATTTTCTCGGAATCAAGTTGATTTTAGTTATTAAACATAAATTATCAATTGGGTTATGGTTTGTATTTTATTTAAGTTCATAAATTGTGAAATTGATTTGAATTCTTACCCAAAAATCATGTAATTGGGGATTAGGGTTCAATATAATATTATAATAATGCAGTCCTAAGCTCTTTATTTGGAACTTATATAGGGTAGTCAAACCATAATTTACATAAATATAAATTACAAGTATATTGAAAAAATAATAAATTATATTAATAATAACATACCGATAGGGTATAACTATTATCAATATAATATTTATTATAATTAATATCAATTTAATTAATTTATTAAACAAAATTTGTAAAACTGTACCCACGATATAATAAGTTACAATCATACAAATTAAAAAATAATTATATTTTATTCAAAATAGGAAAATTTGTAAGATTACAATTATACAAATTGACAAGTGATTACTCAATTATCCAAAATAAAACTCTCAATTAATAAGATTTCTAATATACTCATTAAAAAAAATTAATTATTTATTTGAGTATATAACAAGAAATCAATTTATGAACATAAATAGATTTTAATTTTAAAATATTATGAAAAATTATTCAATTCATTTTGTGTAATTTCATTTTTTATAACGAATAATCGATAATGATAAAACCAATGCTGAGGGTAGAGACCTCTCATTAGACTTATCCAAACTATCACGATCCGTTCAGACACAAAACTCAATCAAACAATTTATCTATTTAGTGTTTAATAACAATAGACCATAATATAATTAATTAATAATTAATCATGTTAATTGATGTATGATTAATTAAATTAATCTAACATTGCTGTGTTAACATAATTAAAATTTTGTTCAAATTATAAGTGTTTAATAAGAATAAGTATTCACACAAGAAGATATGCGTTATTGTTAAATGTAATTCATTGTTTTGATTTGATTTGATATGATTAGATTTGATTTGAATATTTTGGGCCTTTTATGTTTTGGGCTTTTGTAAACCTAAAACTATAAATAGGGTGCCTTGCTTTGTATTCAATCAAAACAGAACAGATTTCATAGTTGCAGTTAGCAAGTGAAAGTTCAATAAGAAATCCCACAGTTGTGGGTAACACATTCTCTCCAAATACTTCTTCTCTCATTCTTCTCTTTCTTGTTTGTTATTCTTCTTCTCTTTTGTTGTTCTTGATAATTACTTGTTATTATCATCATTATCATATTGTGGGTTTGTTCGTCAATCTTGAGATCAAGATTGAAGGGAATTCTTCATAGGGTGTGAGGTGAATTTCCAACATCTGGTATCTAGAGCTCCGGTTGAGGGATTCAAGGAAGAAAGATAGTGATGGCGATGAACTATCCGAACGACAACTTTCCGGCAACCTTGCCAATTCTCAAGAAAGACAATTATGAGAATTGGTGCAAGCAGATTAAGGTGATTTTCTGTTATCAAGATCTTTGGGATCTTGTGAAGGACGGAGTAACATCGCTTGGGGAGAACGCAACGGAGGAAGAAAAGACTGCGCACAAAGAATTGAAGAAGAAGGATTATAAAGCACTCTTTATAATTCATCAGTGTGTTGATCCTGATAACTTTGAAAAGGTTAGTGATGTTGATTCAGCAAAAGAAGCATGGGAGATTCTTGAAAAGTCGTTTGGAGGCGCAAAGAAGGTGAAAGAGGTGAGGTTACAAACTCACAAGAGAACCTATGAGTTACTTCAGATGGAAGATAACGAAAGCATTACAAATTTCTTCACCAGAGTTACATAGTTGGTGAATCAAATCAAAGTATGTGGAGAAACGCTGACAACGAAAGCAGTTGTCTCAAAGATTTTGAGATCGTTGGCTTCAAAATTCGACCACGTGGTAGTTGCCATAGAAAAGTCGAAAGATCTGTCAGTGTTTACGAAGGAAGATCTTCAAGAGACTCTTGAGTCTCATGAACAGAGGATGGCTGAAAGAGCTGCAGGAAAGTTGAAAGATATGGCTTTGCAGGCGCAGTCAAAAAAGGAAAGAAAAAGCAAAGATAGCTGGAATGGCAACAAAGGAGGAAACCAGTCGAATAAGAAGAAACCTTGGAACCAAGGCAACCAAAGAGGTGGTGCTGCAGGTAAAGGAACAGGTGGTGGTCGAAAGACAGACAAAAGCCACATTTAATGTTTCAATTGCCAGAAGTATGGTCATTATGTTAGTGATTGTCCAGAAAGGAAGAGAAATCAAGAGACTGATGCAAAGTTGGCGAAACATGAAGAAGAAGAAACGTTGCTAATGGTCACAATAAAAGATGAAGAAAGATTCCAAGATCAGTGGTACTTGGACTCAGGATGCTCATCACATATGACTGGAAGGAAAGATTGGTTTGTCAACATGAAGCCCTCGTCGAAGAACACAGTGAAGTTTGCAAATGACAATACTCTAGCAGCCGAAGGTGTTGGTGATGTTCTGATTATGAGGAAAGATGGAAAAAGGTCAACAATCTCCAATGTGTTGTACATACCAGGCATGAAGAGTAATTTGCTCAGTATAGGGCAGCTTGTCGAAAAGAACTACAAGGTAGTTGTCGAAGACAAGATGATGAGAGTTCTCGACGCAGGTGGTAGATTAATCTTGAAGGCTTCAATGTCTCATAATAGGACCTTCAAGATTGGACTCAATGTGATGGAGCACAGATGTCTAGCAACTGCAGCCAGCAGAGATGAGTGGTTATGGCATTTTCGACTAGGTCATCTCAACTTTAAAGACATCAGAGAACTGAAGAGAAGAAATATGGTTTCAGGATTACCAGAAATCAACATTCCAAGTAAAGTCTGTGAGGAGTGTGTTCAGTCGAAACAACACAAGAATAGCTTCAGCAAGGATGCAGGAAGGAAGTCGAAGGCAATACTTGAAGTCATATACTCTGATGTATGTGGTCCAATCCAGGTGGATTCGATTGGTGGCAATAAATACTTTGTCACGTTTATAGATGATTACAGTCGAAAGCTGTGGACTTACCTCATCAAGAAGAAAAGTGATGTGATTGAGGTATTTTCCAGATTCAAGTCCATGGTCGAAAGACAGAGTGGTCGAAAGCTGAAAATTCTGAGGACTGATGGTGGTGGAGAGTATGTGTCGAAAGAGTTCGATACACTATGTGTAAAAGAAGGGATTGTGCATGAGGTGGTGCCACCTTACACTCCACAACAAAATGGGATTGCAGAACGCAAGAACAGAACCATCATGAATATGGTGAGAAATATGTTGAATGGAAAGCATCTACCTAAAGAATTATGGGGAGAAGCAGTTTCGACAGCAACATATATATTGAACAGATGTTCGACGAAGAAGTTTGAAGGAATCACACCAGAAGAATGTTGGTCTGGTGTCAAGCTTAGTCTCAGTCACTTGAAGGTGTTTGGATCTATAGCACATAGACATGTGCCAGATCAGTTGAGAAAGAAGCTTGATGATAAGTCGAATCAGATGATCTTGATAGGATATCATTCGACAGGAGGTTACAAGCTGTTCGACCCAGTGAATAAGCAGGTAGTGATCAGCAGGGACGTGATCATAGATGAGCTTAAAGAATGAGATTGGACTGAGAATGCCAAGAAGGATTCAGTGAGAATCTCTTGTGAAGAACCAGCCACTGAAGTCGAAATAGAAGTTCGACAGGAACCAGTTGTAGATGAAGCAGGTTCAAGCCGACCTCAACGAACAAGACACATGCCTGCAAGGTTGCAAGAATGTGTAATTACATCAAATGATGTAGTCGATGAGGAAGGTGAGTTGGTACATTATGCTTTCTACACAGATGTTGAACCAGTCAATGCAGATGAGGCATTGAAAGATTCGAAGTGGATGAAAGCAATGATTGAAGAGTTGGAGTCCATCGAACCAGTTAATGCAGCTGAGCACAGATTGCAACTGTCGAAGGATTCAGATGAAAATGATGTCGATCCAACCCAATACAGAAGACTTATTGGGTCACTTAGATACCTTTGTCACACAAGGCCTAACTTAGCATACATTGTTGGCATGGTCAGTAGATTCATGCAGAAGCCAAAGGTATCACACCTAGCAGCGGCGAAGAGGATACTGAGGTATCTAAAAGGAACTCTCGACTATGGCATTTTATTTCCAGCAGCTGATGAAGGAAAAGAATGCAAGTTAGTGGGATACACAGACTC